ATCTCAGCTGAAACGCTTTCTTCCTCTTTTGCTCACCTCTTTTTTTATTGTCATTGTTGCAGGGCGAAAGCTCTGGGATTTCCTCCCTCTATTTCCCAGGACAGAGCTGCAATTACAGCTCAGGAGAGAAGAAGACCAGCTGTGCAGGGGACTGGGGAGCAGTAGCAGGGAGACAAAGAGGAGGGCGCCCCCCAGAGGCCAGGGTATGAAACTGCTCATATTCCCACCATAATATTTTCCCTCACATCAAAGCAGACGCATACTTTCAGGCCGCACGGCTGTTTTTTTTAAGTACCAGGCAGGGTCACCATGACCAAACAGGAATAACAACCCATTTTAACGAATATTGTGCCGTGTTATGACCTAGCTCGGCTGTTCTGAACGTTAAAAACACAACTGAACACACAAAGCTGCTGTGGCAGGAACACGCAGTGATACCAAGGAAATGTGAAGAATGCATCAAACAGCCTTGGGTGCTCTTATCTTGGACTGCATGTGGACAGGGACATCCTAAAAGAAGTAAATACTGAAAATATGATTAAAGAGAACACATAAACATAAAGGACACATTCAGACAGCTGTGACCTGATTACGTGAAGGAATGCTGTCGGGACTGGGCAGAAATCCTATGTGGCACCGTGTCGATACATAAAACGTTTCAGAGGGAATGTCGTGTTTCCTTTCATTTTACAGCTTATAGCCTCACGTCTTATAGTCAATTAAGTACATTTTGAGGCTGTGTATTACATAGATTATGACTTAATATTTAACTTACCTGCTATACAGTCAGTTACATTGAAATAGCCTCTGTGATTATGCAACATATCTGACTGGATTATCTTCAAACAAAATAATTATTCGCCTCAGGTCTGGTCACAGTGTTGCTCTGATCATATGACTGAAGGGTGGCTTTTCATCAAGGCCCAAGCCTTTTTTTTCTTTAACTGAAGAATTGTATTGGGTCATACAGTACACAGCAATGATGGTGCAAGCCATTTTAAACTGATTAAAATCCATTCATCCTGTCATTTATTCTGCTGCCCTTCCAGAGACATCTCCAAATCCCATGAAAGGACCATTGCAACAGTGAGTTTATCCATCCTTCAACACTCTCTTTATTGACATCTTTTGACTATGCTATAGCTTTAATTAAACTATATTTTAAACTGGGGTAAATAGTGCATTTCTTGGACACTATTCTGTAGTTGGAGATTAATACACATTTGGTTATTATGGTTAAACAGGCAATACTTGTTAGTAGGATCAAATTATTGTTGATTTTGGTCTTTTCTTGGGATTTGTTGACAATAAGAACACATTGGAATATCATCAGCCCTTATTGTTTTAAGTTGTTGACTCTAAGTTTATTCCCCTAAATGAGAAAGTCAAAATTCAAATTGTAAAGTATTTACTTAGGTTTCAGTGCAGAAAATGCAAAAAAGTATATAATGAACTAGAATGGCGCTTCAATCTGCCAAAGCTGCGTTCAATCCAGTCAAAAATATTGCGTAATTCTCCCCCGTTACTCAGATGAACTCCGAATTAAACAGGTTCGTCCTTGGCCTGTGCTTCACCCTTCCCCCCCAAAAAAGGGCTATTCATTTTCTGAAATGCTGATGACAAACAACAAACATAACCTCTTCGGCAGATGTAATTATATCGTTTTCTAAATTAAAGGGGAACAATTTTCCATACCAAAGTCTATGTTACAGTCACAGGGGTAATACACAACCGGTAAACACAGTTGTAAAATATCTTCTGTGGTTCTGAAGGAGCTTAGTCAAGACCGAGAAAATGACTTTGTGACATCACTTGTGTTTCCCAGATTGAGTTTAAGACATTTCAACTGAAGCCTGCCTTACAAAGTAGGGGTGTACAGATTGCCACTTACCAGGAAGGGAGGGTCTAGCAATAAAATCGTTTGAGGTGTAGGATCCAGTATTTTTGGGGCTTATTAGGTACTAAAAGTAAAGATATTTACGCTTCCTTTTCTTTTCTGTCTCTTAAACCCCTTAACTTTATGGAAGTGCAACACAAAGTTGCCTCTTATCAGTGCCCCCACTCCTGCTCGTACATCCTAGCTGAATGGGAATTGTTGGACATATGCCATTTCGATTGACACTTTTATCTGTACATTTTTCGGATGCTTGACCCCAACTGGAAGCGATCCCGTGACCTTGGCACCTCCCGCCAGACCCTCTCCACACTGGATCGCATTATTAAAATGACTGTGATATGTGCCTGTTCGGCTTCAGGCATCAGCTGCTTGCAATGTAATGTTTCCCAACAGCTGTCGCACTGTTCGGCTGGTGTGTGAGTGTGTGTAACAAAGAGAGAGTGATGGCAGCAGGAGCCCCCGTCAGACCCATGGGGCGGTCGGGAGAGGAGCAGACGGTCGTGTCGTTTCACTGGAAACATATGGTGAAACTCAAGTGTGTAATTTACCTAGGACTACGGGTGGCCCTGAGTAGCACGTACACACATGTACACACACACACAGTGACAGGGTGTAATTTACCTGAGGCCTATGGGTGGCCCAGTGTCCCGTTGCACTTGTCACACACTCAGACGGCTCATACCCAGTTCACACTTTCTTGTAGAGACGGAGAGAGTGAGACTCATTTCCTCAGGCCTGCTGACAGAAGAGTAAGAAATCACACGGTGACAGAGATGTTAGAGAAGGTGCATTTAGTGTATTGTGGGGAAGACATTACCCCAAAATCTCAACCTGTGGGAGTACTGCACACCCTGTATCACATCCTCTCCTATTCATCAACCTGGCTCCTTTTCAAAGCGGGCGCGATCCTCCCTCAATGAGATGAAGGTCATGGGAGCACCAGTGAAGGGGAGGAAGACAGATTGGAAGAGTGTGTCCCTCCCTACATTCCTGCACTGACCTTCATAGTAGTGTGGCACTGTAGCTATCATCGGCCCACCATGCTTTACAGTGGGTTGTTATTGAGGGGTGGGATTATGGGCTCCTCCAACCTGCATGCCCCACCCCGATTCCACGGCAAGCGCAAATGGAGCATATCTTATTCCGCGTGACGATTGACAGACAGGCGGTCCCAGACGTTTACGGTTGGCACTGTTTGAGGTGTCTTGTCTGTGAAGGCTGATATGATAGTCTGTCTACAAGTCGCTGTGTGTGTGTGTGTATGTGTGAAAGAGCTGGTGTTTGATCTCCTTTCCCAGCCAAGGGGCTTTAACTTCACTCCAGGTGCAGAGAAGTCAACCTGGGGGCATGGGAGGCACATACAGTTGAGATCACAACCCTGAAGTACTTACACACACACACTCTCACACACATCTACGCACACACACATATACGCGCACATTGAGGCAGGAAGTTTCCTTGATGCAGTTACTCAGACTGAGTAACTTTGTGGTTTAAACTGGTTTACCAGTCCAGTGGTGTCGCCTTGGAATGCTTCTAGAGCATCAGCAGGATAAACATTACTGTTACCGCCTCCACATGAAAACATCAATCAGTCGCTAACAGAAATACTGAGAGTTAAAAAATGAAAAGGTGAAAGGGCCAGCTGGTTCAGTGGGCAACATAATGACAATGTGCAGGACCAGCTCTCAGTCTACTGTACACACAAGCAGATGGAGTTGGTTTTCATTGCTGCAGGTCAGCTCTGATTGGACACAGTAAATGAGAGTCAACACTGGGACTAAACACTGCATGTGACTCTGAAGTGAAGTTGATAAAAAGTTATTAACAGGTGAAGGTTTGGATCAAATCATTGGCAAACCATTCATTCTACCCCAAATATGTCGTTAAAAGCTCCTAACTGCATTTCTTCCATTCCAGCACCTCAAAAGCAGCGGGAGTAAGCGCTCTCTTTATTCCTCCATATCTCCACACAGGAAATCTGTGTGGTCCGTAATGAGCTCAGTAAACATCTGCTGCTCCTGTATTAAAGACCATTTTCTACGCGTCTCATCCTGTAATATGGAGAAATTAGAGTGCAGGGACTCATTCGGGGTGTTTATACACACACACACATTCACAGTGAGCAGACATAACATAAGGAGTCCAAGTGTTTTATACTACCCTACTGACGCTCTAACATACCATCTCAACACCACAATTTTCCATCCACAACAGTAAAACACTACTGGGTGTCCTTGGTGTATGGGCCTTGACTACCAGGGTTGCTTTTTTTTTTTTAAAGTGCAAGGTACTGGGACCTGATCCAAGAAGCAGGTTTACTGATTTATCTGGAAATCTTTGGTAATTTATACCCAGAAGCCCCTCAAAGCTGGAACATGTGATTATAAAACCCCCCTTTTCAGATGTTACATCAGATAACTCGGTAAAGCTGCTTTTTGCAAACAGGCTCTTCATTATTTCTTCAACTAAAACAAATACACTGTCTGTTTATTTAGCATGGCAGCGTTTCCCTCTAAACACTTTAGGACACAACAAAGGCTTGGTTATGCAACTGCTAATGGATGTGACATTTAAAGAGGAGTAGCACCACCTAGTGTCAACTCTTCATAACTCCATGGCAAATACCAACATGTAACTAACCTTAAAGGTGGGGTAGGTAAGTTTGAGAAACCGGCTCGAGATACACTTTTTGTTATATTCCATGGAATGCTCTTAACATCCCGATAGCAATGAATATCTTAGGTGCTTTGACAAAAAATCCATCAAAAAATGTCATCTGTGGAAGCCGTAGTACTGTAAAAAGCACGACCAATCATTTTAGCCGGCCCGGCTAAAATAACTGGATGGCCTACCTGCCTGTCAGCCTTCCATCTGTGCACAAACTTATCTCGTGCCCTCATTGGTCATGTGCGCGTTCGTGTGTGTTGGAGGAGGGGCTCTGTAAGGAAGTGGCAGATTTGCTCCTGCTGTGTATTTTCAAATTCTAGCGATCTCGAGCCGGTTTCTCAAACTTACCTACCCTACCTTTAAAGCAAAGAGGAATAATTCAAACTAAAACTCACATTGTTTCTTGAGAGAACAAAATGTAATCCAAAAGAAAGAATATTTAATGTATTTTTATTATAGAAAACACGTATTTGATGTGATTACTAAGGCCAGTACAGTAGACTTGCTACACACAAAGAAGACATCACTCCTCAGACTACAACTCCAGCTTTCATATTTGCTCCTGCACATTTTTACACTGTGGTGAACCATCTGGATTGACTTAATCCAGCAGAGTGTTCTTCATCCATGAAAACCTCCCATTCCTGTCAAAGTCTGCTGATGGTAAAATGGGACAACGTTTGCAGTTTAGGATATCCCTCACTTGCTCGTGATCTGCTGGACCTCATTGAAGATCTGCTCCTCCAGTTTGGAGGTGTCGTACTCCTTCAGCATGTCGTACTCTCTCCATGGCTCCGCCCACTTCTGCGCGTGCTCCATCTGCTCCTCCGTCAGGGACAGGTCAAAGCGGATGCCCTTGATGTCGAATTTTGGTCGTTCCCAGCGTTTGGACCATGGCTTTGGCCGCATCCTTACTTTGATCTGGTGAATTGACAGAAAATCCCAATCATTGGAAAATATTGATCAACATTACCAGAAAAAATACCTGCGTTAATAAGAATCATAATAGTATAGGTTTCTAACAATAGCTTTAACAATATTACATTGCATTTAGCTGACGCTTTTATCCAAAGTGCCTTCGACCAAGAAGATACAAACTTGAAGAAAACAGTCATATAAGTACATCAGGTTTAATAGAGCCAAACCATTAATAACAGGGTTCATATGACTTTTCCATGACTTTTCCATGACTTCTCCATGACCTTTACCTAATTTTCCATGACCAAAAAAATTACTTTCTCAGCGGTACCACTGAAAATGGTTTATTTTAACATGGAACAGGAAAATAACGTCTGCATATGAAACATGTTGTGCCTATCTCAAACAAATCAAATAGTAGGCTTACTAGCTTCTACACGCTAAAGCAACTCAAATCTCTCACCAGCAAAACACCTCGTCAGTTAAATGCCATTTTATGTTTCATTACTATACGATACAGTATTTATTATCATTATAGTATTACTATTTTGGCGATTAGATAAAATATAAATTATATTTGATGCAACTTTAGTTACGTTACATTTCCATGACTTTTCCAAAACTTTGGGAAAAATGTTGTTTTCCATAACTTTTCCAGGGCCTGGAATTAGCATTTTGAATTTCCATGACTTTTCCAGGTTTTGAATGACCGTAAGAACCCTGTAATAAGTATGCATGAGTTTAAAGAGGAACCATTGAATCCAGCTCTTTTTGACATATTCAGACCCTGTAGGGACTCTTACTTCGTTTAAAGGCACCTCTCCAGTGGGGGAGATGGGCACGGGCTTCATGTCCGGGTTCACGGTGCTGTAATCAGGCATAGCGTCTCTCAGGTACAACAGGCTGTCGTCCAGCCTCTTCTCCAACTTCAGCACTTCTATCTTCTGGATGCGAGGGCTGTACAGGTCGTAGCAAATCTCCACACCTGAGACACATGATTGAAATCATAGTTTAACTTAAAAGGCAAACTGGTTCACTTTTTGTATAATTGGATGAACCTCAGTATGGGGAAAGTTATTAAGCATGATTTTGCAATTAAATGACAGCACTTCTTTTAAACAATAAGCCTGTGTTGCCCTATTAAAGAGAGAACACACATGAATAGAGGGAGGGTCTCAGGTTGAGAAGCAGCATACTTTGTGACTACACAAGAAAACCTTAATATCATAGAAACATTGTATATCATACAGAACTAGTGTAGGAAATGGACGGTCATAGTGAGTTACTTCATTTACAAATCAATGACAAAACTATTTGGTTGACATAAGACTAAATATACCTTCATGCCAGGTAACAGTGATGTCACATTGTGTGTCAAAAATATGGGGTGCAACTACCCAAAAATAGCAAGTTATGCCATCATTTTTACAGAAGAAATGATGATGACAATTGATCATTATCAAAAGAGCACATTTTTTTCTGACGATCAACTAATCAAATTGGCGACCAATTGTTTATGTCCTGTTTTTCAGTAGACCTTTGTTCCTGAAAGCTTACACGGAACATAAATAAACCTCACCTTGGTTATCAATGATGTTCCTCAGCATGAATGTGGCTCCGAGCCCCGTCCCCCCCCTCTGGATACAGATGCCAACAAAGCGCTGCACTTTCCCAGCTGCATGTGTGTCGGCCATGGTCACTGCCAGGATGCTCCCTTGAAACAATCAAAATAATTGACATTTAAAATTAGTAATATACAAACAATTGTTTAATACACAGTAATTCTTATTCCTATTCGAAAAGGTTTGCTATATAAAGTAAAACAAAAAGGGGAAAAAACTATGGAATTATTAATAATGTTGATTATTTAAATAAATGTCTCATTACCATAGAATATTATAATATTGTTATAATATGGAAAGAATATATAAGACTAAAAGTTAAAGGTGGGGTAGGTCATTTTGGAGAAACCAGCTCGAGTGCGCTAGAATTTGAAAATACACAGCAGGAAAAAATCTGCCACTTCCTTACAGAGCCCCTCCTCCAACACGCACATGACCAATGAGGGCACGAGATAAGTTTGTGCACAGATGGAAGGCTGACAGGCAGGTAGGCCATCCAGTTATTTTAGCCGGGCCGGCTCAAATGATTGGTCGTACTTTTTACAGTACTACGGCTTCCACAGATGACATTTTTTCATGGATATTTTGTCAAAGCACTTAAGATATTCATTGCTATCGGGATGTTAAGAGCATTCCATGGAATATAACAAAAAGTGTATCTCGAGCCGGTTTCTCAAACTTACCTACCCCACCTTTAACGGTACAAGTTCTATCCGATTCAGAGGTCTGCAATAGATTTGAGACAATATCATATTTTGCCCATTTTATTTTTATTTAAATGAAAGCATAAGAATAATCTGGCTGTAGACTGACTGCTAGGACATGAGAAATATATGGTCTTGTAGCTTTGATTTAACTTGTATCAATGGAAAAGTGTCAATGATATTCCCCAGATTACAGAAGAGAAAAGTGTGTGGGTGAATCAGTGTATGAATGTTGTGGGGTTAACCAATGTCTTACCTGCGTAGAATTCAGGGATGTTGAGCACTTGCCTCCTGCAGATCATGTCTTTCCTCTCCATGGAAAACTTTAAAGGATTTGTTCTCTGTCTGGGTGGGATGAACTCTGGGCTCAGGAACCTAGGAAGGAAGACAAAACACTTACAGAAAAGCATACTTTACGCAGAATGCAGTATTTGGAGAAAGAATGGAAATACATCCTACTTTCTCAGCGATTCCACAGTCTGTGTTTTATCAACAATGACAGGTTTAGATGGAGGGGTGAACTTCGGGGGCTCCTCGTGGGGAGAAAGACGACACAGACACGTGGATATGAACCCTGGAAATAAAAACAACAACATAAGATAACAGTATAGTCGAATAATGGTCGTTATTAGGTTAAATAGTCGCAAGCTAACAATGTACCGTTAGCAACATTAGCTCGCCTAATACGTCAGGATGAACATTTTAAATACTGCATGTTTTCAAAGCCTGACAGCAAATTCAAAGTAGAACGGAGAATTGTACGCTTGTTGTGTTTACTTACGTTCATTTCGGAGCCGGAGGTTTCGTAGTAAGCTCAGTGAAAACATCATTTTGTTGAGCCCTTTCCAACAGACAGCCATGTTTAACCTTCTCTTGTCACATGGAAACGCGTACGGAAGCCGTGTAGGGCAAATGTAATTGAAACGCGATTTATCCGAATCTGCAGTACAGTATATTGTCCACAAGATGGCGCAACTGTTTTATCAATTATGAAAGAAAGCAAGAGATCCCTAACAATTATCCTACCATGATAAAAGATTAAATACAAATGTTGACTTATTGAGATGGCAGAATTTTTTTCTTTTACAGATAGTATGTGTTTATATTGTTGGCTACATCAACAACATCGGGAGAGTCAATTACATGTTTTTGGTTACAGATGTATTTATGAATTATTCCAGACAGGCTTTTAAAGTAGAGTTTTATGATAAAAAAAAAATACCTTTATTAGACAAAAAAATAAAACGGATGTCAAGAGGCTTAACTTTAGTAAAACACAACAATAAATAGCCTAATGGATACTTTATTACAAGTAATATTATCCACACTTAGAAGTACACCAGTATTTGTATTTGTATACTTTTTATTTATAGGCCTATTTAATTAAACAAATGCACTTTGTTTAGAAAATAAACTCATATGGACCACAGATGGAAATTAGCTATTAGCTATAATCTGGCATATTGCATCTCTTCTCTTTGCTGAGATTAATGTTTTTGTATGCATGGTCCTTCTATAAATAAATACAAATACAAATATTTTTACATACAGTATAAACTAATAATAACAACAGAAAAACATGAAAATAATTACAGGAATTGAGCTGAATGAAAAAATGAAACAAAAATAAATAAGTAAATACACCTGTTCATATGCTTTCTTGTTATATATAAAAAAACCTACTCGGTGCTTTAGCCCCAATAATAATACAAATATGTATTTTAGTTTTTGCATTAATCAGTCAATTTTCTCCATCTATTATCAGCTATGTGTTTTTTATTACTAATTTTGTATGTCATCCTTTCCGTAGTGTACACTCCAGTATTGCACATTTGCATACATTATTCAAATGTAAAGTCCTGGGTGACACATGGGCCCTTCCATATTTATGGCATGTGTCTGCTAGGGAACTCTGGGTCTTTGGGACCCTGCAGGGGAGCGGCGGTGCTCCAGGTGGGCTGCCTCCACACCACAACACGCAGTAGAGTAGAGAGCAGTGCTGCAGCCCAGAGGAGCCCCGACCCGCAGTCTGTCAGAAGTGTGGTGGAGGAGGATGAGGGAGGACTAGAGGCATGGCACTGCGCACCTCCCGCAAGAGACGCGGATCCTGAACCCCAATGCAGCTGCTGGACTTTCTAATGCTTTGGATAAACTCACAAACTTCGAGGTTTCAAGGATGTTCTTCTCAGATGGGACTCTCTCAGCCGTCACTTATGCTCTCCTGTTGGGAATAACGTGTGTGAGCGTCCTCTGCGATCTCACCAAGGGCTCTTCAGACTTCTCAGGTTGGGAATAAATATGTTGTTTTTGTGCTTTTTGGTCAAAAAGAAGTGTAACACCTCTGTTTGTAGCCTTGAAAAGTAACGATACAGCAGCATGTTCAGATGCCCAGCACTTGTTTGTGTCTGCACTCAAGCCTCATCACACTTTACGATAGAGAAGTGCACTGATTTCACGCTAGGATATTGAAAAATAACTCGGATAAATCCAGATGTCTGCTTTTAAAACGACTTTCAAAACAACTGTGAGCAGTGATTTCAGAGTGTTGTCGCGCGCACTTCTCTCAGGAAGACCCGTGCCTCTGGCGTGCTGCAGCATGCACATTCTAATGTTTGTTTCAACAACGTGTAACCTGGAAACACAACTTAAACATGCGGAAAAGACCCATGTTTCTTATCTTTTGGGCACATCTGAGTCACATAAGGCACTTCAAACAACAGGTTCTCCTTTACTACGGCCACCTGTGTAGGGATTAAGGGTTGCTTTATCAGTACAGCATATATCCCATTTATACAATTGAGATAAATGGGATCATGTGGTTAATGTGTCACTATAGAGAAGTTGTTTAGGCTTTATACACTAAGGTAAATGCAATGCAAGTCATATTAGTGCCTGGAAACTGCCCATTACCTCAGGTTTATGTGCAATCCAGTGTGACGGAATCTGAAGGCTTTTATTTTACTGAAGTTATGAGTTATTCTGCGTTGCATTAAAGGCCATTGAGCTGTGCTAAGTCCAAGGCAAGCCCGCAGGTTTTGTTTACAGTGCCATAAAACAGGAAGGCAGCTTTGTGTCGGTGTTAATTGGCCTCTAATGGGTCTATTGGTTGGAAACGAGCAGGCTAACACTGTGGGGAAAAGGTGCTAAAGAGCAGATGTATGTACCATGCCCTGTGTGTACGAATGTGTGTGCATGTGTCCATGTTGCAGCCTAATGAGCTGCTAAAGATCACTGTAGTGAAGGCTGTTAACAAGGTTGTGATTCTCTAATTACCATGCATGTGTCAGTAGTTGTTGGTTGAGTACATTAAACAACGGTTGATTAAGCAAGAAGGGTAAACTATTAGCCCGGGTGAATCCAGGTTTCTGCTGCTTGGAGCGGGTTTACCAACACAAAGACATGATGATGCAGATCTAGGAAGGAGTTCATTTGTTGAAAGCTTTGGTGCAGCATTTTTATGCTCTGCAAGTTAACCTCTGGACGTTTCAGTGGCTCATTGATCAAGTTTCTCTGTAGGGGGATGGAGAGGACCTGCTGTCATGAAGGGATGTTCCTTTTCTTTACATACACTTGAGGTTAGGTTTCAAGCGATGCTCGTGTTGACTCCCAAGATGTACCTACCCATGAGGGACTCTTTGCAACATGCTTTTACAGAAATGCTGACAAGAATTGAATGAACAGGAATGAGAAAAGGGACTCGGGGACAAAGAAATCGCTCAGTTCTCACATTCTTGACCAGCTGGAGTCTCCCTGGAGACCAAGAGGAGGTCTCTGATTGACATTTGCTGCCAGGGTGTGGGGTGACAGAAGCGCTAGATCGAACATCTGTCACTCAAGTCATATGGTTGGTCTGTGACGGTGGACAATCTGGTCACATGAGCAAGGTGCATAGCCAACTGTTGCTTTTCCAAAGGCTTTTTTAGCAACTTTTTATCACATGCTATTTATAGTTCATGCGTCTACATGTATGCGTCTTGTGTTTGCATTGTGTGCTGATAGACGGAGTCATGGCAGTTTCATATTTCCTCATGGAAACAAACTACTGCATGATTAGATTGAGTCTCTCCCCGCTTGTTATCATCTTCTGACGGCTAATTAGAGGTGTGGAGTGAGCCGGGCGACACTTAAAAGCCCCCAGGCTAACTTCTGTAGTAGGAAGCTAGCTTTTAATGATGTTATGAAAGTTACTAAAATTTGCATTATGTTGATTTTATAAACCGTGAATGTATAGAAGCTCGACACCTTATTCTCTCCTGTAGGTACTTTCTCAGTTTTACTCATGTGACCAGCTTGTTATGTAACTGTTCTTCATCAGACAGCTAGCAGCAAACCATCCATTACCAGAATTGAACATCACGTATCCTTGCCTTTGGTGTAAATACAGACCTCACTGCATATGGAATGTATCTCACATATTTTACCACCAAAAATACAATAAAGTGATGCATTTAGAATTGGATTGGCAGAAAACAAATCTGTAATCTTCTTGATGACCAATAAATCATTTTACTGATAGAAAATAATCAGAATATTAATTAAAAAAAATAAAACCGTAGTTGCAGCCTTCACTTAGAAGTGTAAAATGTGTTCTCCGGACCTTTAGGCAGGTGTGTATTTGATGAATTGTACTTCTAGTACTTCACTGGCTGTTATCTCTGGTCTCCTGAACAGTTTTGTAATGTTAACAGAAAGCAGTTTATCATTTTTGTCAACACATGGTTGTAAAGGTAGGGCAGAGCAATGAATAGGGAATTGTGTGGAAATAAAAGCCGTTACACAACAGGAATCCAGCATTTGCTACAACTGGGCCTTTTGACTCAGAGTTACTTACAATGTGTTGTGTGTTTCTTTTAACTGTAGAACATTTCAGAATCAGTTGTTTCTGGACAACCTATATGGCGCTGCTAAAAGGTTACAGTGAAGCAACTTCTCTTCTCTTTCGCTGTCATAAAACCCCGTAGGCAAAAAGCTATTTAACCTCAGTCAATGGGATGTGAGGCTGTTGAAGGGCCAAAGGGTCAACTGAGGTCAACCCATAGTAACTGTGAGTGTGTGGTTAGGGGGAGTTATCATCCATCTTGCTCTTTGTTCCCCCCTGTCAAACCTCATCACACATGTTGACCACTGTCGGGAAAGGTAGAGAGAAAGTCAACACAACGCTGTTTTCTCAGCTCATGAATTTAAATTCAGTTCAGAAGAGGATAAAGATGTTTGGTTAACTTCAAAGTAAGGCTCTCAAGTTGTGTTGGATCAATATATGAATAGCACGCTTCTTTTAGGGTAATTTCAAGCTTCATGTATATGCATTTTAAGCTTTTTGCACCATGTTCTCATTCCCTACTGGCTTCATTTTTAAACATACACACGTTGAGAACTCAAACAAAACAAATTGGTTATGTATAAGAAAGGATTACGGTTTAGGGTTTAAACAGGTATGTAAATGTAGTTACATAGGCTACGTAAGTCCGGTACTGAATGTAAATAAGTCAGTGGTTGACTTTTGGTTTGACAGGTGACACTCAGCGGTGAAAGTCCTGAGTTTGTTTGACCCATCTTTCCAACCCATCATCCTCCCTATGAGGACATCTCAGTCTTTATACAACTTGACTTAACTTTCAAAGTACTTGCTCTGAGTGTCTTATATTGCTGCAGCATAAAATGACATGACAAAAGCTATTTGTAGTAAGAACACATGAATACACTTTAGCAATGTGCAGGTTTTTCATACTTTATTTAGCAATACATGGCTGGAATATCTCCCTTTTGGTCAGGACATTTGTGATGGGTATCTTTTTTAAATTCTTGACTTTTTGGTAGACTGAACAACTAATCAATGAATACAAAAGTCATTTGTTAAAGCCCTACTAACATTGTGTTACTTTAATCAAATAAGTGGTGCTTGATCTTCTGATGTAAACAGACTGGGGAGCTTGATCCTTCCTAGGTGACAGATCAGCTGATAGCTTCACTATGGGCAAGCTGTCTAAGCTAACACACACAAATCCACCTATGCTATTACCCTTTAACTATACCCCTAACTGCCTACACACACACACACACACACACACACCCCTCCATCTACTGATCGCTACTCCAGGCCCCTCAATCTTAATCCGCTCTGATTTTTGAGTGTTGGATAAGGGTAGCACACTGAACCCCATGCTCTCCTCTCTCAGACCCTTCCCCCTCCCCATCAGCTCTCCTGCCTTCTTTTTCCTCCACTACCTCCACCTCCTCCTCCTAGCTGCCTCTACTCCTCCCTAGGGCTTGCCTGATCACTGTTTCTGTGTCTGTGTGCGCCAGGTGAGCTCTGTCTAAACAAATCCTGCCTCCCACTTGTTTTGTCTACTGCGGTGGAGGCAGGCGGCGAGGCGGACTGCGACTGCCTGGCATAAGGCTGCTTTTCTCTGCTGCTGAATGGAGAGGGGGTGCTGCTATTCAAAGCGCCGTCTCTGTGAACAACGCTCCCAAAGGAGGGAAGTGTCAAGACATTTCGATTCATTTGCGTGATAGTATCAAAACACACAGAGTTGTTGGGTGTCAACTAGGAAGGGATTTATTTAATGTATTTTTCTGCTTCATACTGAATATATAAAGTGTTTGAAGGAAACTTGCGAGGTTTGAAATACAAACCTTTGTGATTTATATTTCCTTAATCCATCGAAATTCTTTATAGACATGTTGCAGAAGGATTTGGTCGGGGTTTAAAAACGTTACACCAAATTTTGTTTCGAATCCGCTTATCAAAAATTAAATCCTTTCAAATCCCATATTAAATTCATTAAGGTGTTGCTTACATAATATTGAAGTGTCAAAAGTTATAGACAGTTCAGATCTACAACTCATCAGGTTGACTTTAAAAAGAGAAGATACGATTCAATAAGAAATGGTTTAGTGTGAGATAAACTGATCAGATGTGTTTTAACTGGAGAGCTGGGTCTAAAAGAGAACAGCCTAAAAAAGGTTATTTAATACCAGAAGTAATTGATATAGAGGTTTTCAAGCTTCACATTACAGAAAATGGTTCTTCCTGAATGCTAAGAATTTATCGCTGAGATTTGAAACATCATATCCAGCCATCTATCCGTGCGTGTTGTGGCCCATGTATCATTAATAGCTGAGCGATGCAGTTATATATAACAGTGTAAATCCCATCTTAAGAGTTTGGTACCAACACAATTTCTCTTACATCGACAGTATAATACGTTTAGGGACATTTGAGCTTTTAGGTGTAGACAGCTTGGAGATGTAATGTGGATATCTTCTGGATGTGTGTTCCCCTGTT